AGGAATGCGGGCTGTAGAAATGCAAATATATGAGAATGGAAAGATGCTGCAAGGCAGCTCATTTTATGCAGATCTCTTATAATAAAAACCAGGCTCTGGCATGCATCATCTCAGGCATCTGGAAAGGGTTTCTTTAATGAGAAGGAGAAGGTGGAGACATGTGAATGTCCCTTAATATACACAGTTCAGACCATTAATGGGATGTTAGAGGGTGGTAGTGGGAAGTGACTGCTATCCTTGAAGACTGAAGAGGCAAGGCCCTGGGGATTTGAGGCTAAATTTGAAGAGATTGTTGTGGTTTGCAGCTCTTTATATAACCTCTCCCCAAGGCAACAGGAATCAGCTTAATTGGTCGCATTCCTCTATTGAACTGTTTATATACTTTTTCATTTTGCTGTTTAACTTTCACCTAAATTATTCTAAAAGAATTGAGTGGTTTCCTTTTAATGAGAACAGGGGCGTAAGGAAAATCTGCATTTGCAGTTTCCAGAAAGGAATTTTGCATCTTTCTGACCATGCGTCTGACCACCTCAGCCCCAGCTCTGAGATACAGAGGTCCTGCCACCTTCCCTGGTCTTCTGTGGGTGCACTGGGGACTTCCATAGCAAATGTTGTGATAAAAGTCCTAGGACAACCTGAAGTGACAGTCTGATTTAAGAAAAAAATATTCTACAAAACTGAAGAATTAAGCCATGTGGTATTAGAAAGGCTAAATTGCTCAACTTTTCTAGCACAACTCTTGGAGAGAAATTTCTGTGCCATTGAGTCAGTATTTTCAGTCACAGTGGAGTTTTAGGTATTAAAATGTTGATACTGTGAGTCCATCTGGGAAGGAGGTATAAAAGTGATGACTGGAGGAGGAGTCTCCAGAGCTGCTGGGTAACACTGCTCCTCCATCTGAAGGCGACAGCTTTATGTGCCCACATCCCAGATGGCTCCCTGGGAGGAGACTGCCGCTGTGCTCACTGACAGAGGGGACATCCTGGGCGAGGCTTCAAAGGCTTTCATGGATTATGGACTAAATTCAGTCCATAGAGCTAAAGATGCTGCTTGAGAATACTTCACATTCACTGTCATCCATTCTTATGGAAAGATTGCTTAGGGTAAGCTGCCAGGGATAGCTCAGAGGTTGTCTCTGAGCTGGGACAGTGTTTCCTTGCCTTATTCTCCTTCCAACTGCAGGGTAGAAGCCTGAAGCAGAAAGGTGGGAGAGAGGTAAGAAAGAGCCCCATCAGCTGCTTGGATGTGACTTTTCCTGGGGTGCAGGGAGCCAGGGAGCTGTATTTGTGCCGAGGCAGCTGTATCCTGTTGGCAAGTACAGCCTGGCTGTGGTTACTCCTATCACAAAGTGTCTAAGGTAGAGTTAGCTTCCCCATTCCCAGCACTGCATCCCTCTCAATGGAAAAAACAGAATCAACTCCTGAAGAGTTGTTGCTAAACAGTGAGAAACATGTCTCAGTCCTCCAGTTCATTTTTTCTTCAGTCTGCTTTTGCAGTTAACTTTTTCCCTCCTTTTTTTCCTCAGCTTGAAGCAGAAGCAGTTTTTCGTGCCATAACCATTGCGAGTCGAATAAACTGCCCAGTGTACATCACCAAGGTGATGAGCAAGAGTGCAGCTGATATCATTGCACTGGCCAGAAAGAAAGGTAAGAGACTGCCTTTTCTCTCCCAAAATTTTTTTGTTGTTGAATAGAAAGTCAGTGGAACAGCCTGTACATTTTGTCCCAAATCACAAGATACAGGGAGAGGTTACCAAAGAATGGTAACACCATTACAGACCCTAAATATGTACAGCTGTGAAAGATGAAGAGAAATCCTTCTACATTGTTCAGTTGAGAAACTCTTCCCATGGACTATAAGCACCCCCCCATCCTCTTGAAAATGGCATTGTAACTCTTTATCCTCTCTTCTCTTTTACCTTTCTTTTAGATTGCTGTATCTCTGTTCATGAGAGGGAGATATTTTCTTCCTAACATGGTCTAGCACATTCTCTGTGTCTTTTGGGGATATTCTGGGGTATTACTCTCTGAGAGGTGACTGAGGCAGTGAACCTGCTGTTAGAGATGCCTGGTGCTAATTCCTGGCCTTGCTGCTGGAGGCTGACCCCATCAGACCTGCACTGGGGACATCTGTGGGTTGGCACTGCTCACTGGAGCTGTGAAGGGATCCAGGTTACAAAGCAAAGGCTTGTGAGCCTGGAGGCAGCTGCTTTGGAAGCTGCGTTTGCGACTCAGGACTGTTCTGCTGGTTGGTGCTACCAAGCGTGTGAGCAATATGGAGAAGCCAAAGAGCAAAATATCATCTTTATATTTGTATTCTTGGAGATTTGGAGTATGATGCTGGGGACCATATGCTGCTATCTGCTGGTGCTGTGCCCAACCTGGGAGTTATAAAAAGGCATCTGTCTGCTGGAGCCCATCCTCCATCAAAATTCACTCCGAATCAGAGCAACAGAAAGAACAAGGCTGTGACTAAAACAGTACAAATTAAACCCAGATCTGAACTGTCTCCTTCTGGATTAGGAAGGGAGCTTTGTAAATACTCTGATCAAAAGCATGTGTAGCCCAGAGAGCCTCCTGATTAATTTTTTATCATATAGACAAAGCCAGGACTGCTTAATTTGGTGGGAGCTATGCTGGCCACATAGCAATATGTAAATTATACATGGCTGCATGCAGCAAGCAGCATAATGTGCTGAAGAGAGAGTGGATTGTAATCAGTTCCTGTAAATCTTTGCTTTCCCCAAGGTCCCCTTGTTTTTGGAGAGCCCATCACTGCCAGCCTGGGGACAGATGGGACACATTACTGGAGCAAAAACTGGGCCAAGGCTGCAGCTTTCGTGACCTCGCCACCCCTGAGCCCTGATCCTACCACTCCAGATCACTTAAATTCGCTCTTGGCATGGTAAGATCTTCTTTTTTTTTTTTTTTTACAGACTGATGGTCAGGCGTGTTCAAAAGCCACATGGGATGAAGCATCTAGGGAGCAGCTCAGTTTCCTTTAGACCAGTCTCATACACGAAACAGCAGAGGAGGGACTGTGGAAGATCAGGATTGGTAATATCTCTGTGTTTAGGTGTTAGTAAGGTGAGCAGGCGTGGACCCTCCAGATCCTGGTTAGTGTGATAGAGAGGCAACTGCTAGTTATTCAGGAATTAATTCTTTTTCTTTCTGCTTTTCAAGCAATTCCTAGTTGTTCAGCTAAATAAACAGCCTCTAGCCCAGGACTTCAAACTGGCTTTCTCCCTAGGTCTTTGTTTTCTCCAGTATAATTGTTAATATATGTTTGGATGGCATCCTCGCCATCCAGAGTAAGCAACAGCCTGGTGGATAGACCCCCATCTGTGGGAATAGGCTCAGTTTTAAGCCCCTGGTCATATAAGGCAAGAACAGCTCCTGAAATCAGGGTTGTCCCCAAATGCAAAGATACCTGGAACCAAGAATTTCCTGGTGCATGTTTTGACAAAGCTGGTGAGGGCTGTAAGCTGTGAGCACTTCTAAGGATTAGGCTGTCCTAAACTAAATTGTAAGTGTTCGTGGCAGAGTTCAGTGGTTTTAACTCCTGTGTATTGCAAAGTTCTGACTTGGTAGTTTGCCTTCATCTGTGATGGAGCAAAATCATATAAGGTTACTTGCATTTAGTTCTTGCAGCCTTGTTTCGACTTTTAGCTTGTCTTGTGTCTTGATACGTTCCAAGGTCCTCAGGCTGTGAGTCAGCAGAGATAAGTGGTACATATAAAGAAGGTATTTCGGGCAGGAGAAAGAAGCCAGAGTGGATTACGTAGGAGACTGTCAGGGACTTAGGTGAAGACAGGCTCGTGACTGGGAGCCATCACTTGACAGGACAGGGGAATGGCTGACTCTCTTTAGGCTGGCAGAGAGAGAGTTATCACTAGAGAGATGGAAGGAATGTGGACAACAGAGGGACAAGTGTCTTTCTTATATAGAAGAGAAGACATCAGCAATGCCTTGCCAGAAACCCAGGCTGTAAATATGTTCCTAAAATTGTTTTCTGCCTGTAGCCAACTGTGGGTCTTCTTTAGCTTAAGCAAAAGACCATCTGCTCTGAAATGATAAGGAAGTTCACAGCTGAAGTCCCACCAGGACAGATTGCTAGTGCTGGAGTGAGGAACTCAACTTATCATTCAAAACCTTACTTCACACCGTCATCTCACCTCCCCTCTCTAGGGTTTCCTGTGCTCTAGACCAGTAGAATTTGAACCTTAAAAGCGACCCACTGGTCTTCAGAAAACGTTTTCCTGAGGTTAGTTTTCCATGTGACTGGCAGGCTGTACGGCAGGCAGTGCCCTTGAGCCTGGTAACAGAAGGCCCCTGTGTGTGATTCGGGCTTGGGCAGAGCTGCCCTTTAGGTGGATGGACACATGTGTGTGATGGGAAGCTGCCATGAATCAGTGCTGCTGCCGTGTGCACACATCTCTCCTTGCACGTGGTGGGTCAGGCTGTGCAGTCCACCAAACCCAGGTTTAAACTCGGTTGCTCTAATGATGCTGCGTGGACAGCACTATCAGTGAACGCAGTTGAGCTGTGAGTTACATATGTTTCTGGTAAGAATACACAGAAATTTGTTCTGTTGTGACGGTCTGGTGGCAGAAATAGTTTCCCATAATTGAGCTTTCTGTTTCTTAAAATAAGGACAAGGATGAAAAATTGTTTTTCTGATTTGATCTGTCACTATCAGCACTGTGTAGTGTGAAGCTCATTGTATGAGGGTAAGGCTCTTAGCCAACACATGTGAATGTGTATGAAAATGTTTGGCTCTTTACTCTATCAGACATGGCTATATGTTTTTTAGAAGAGAGTCCCAAAATAATAGTATGTGGGTCAAAATGGATTAGCTAAAATAGCAAGAGAATTTTTAGAACTAGAATCCAAATAATGACTTTTTTTAACACTGACATCAGAAAGACAAACTGAGGAGTAGTCACAGAAGTTCTCATTATCCTCCAAGCATGCAAAAATGGCTTTTTTATTCCTAGTGGCTTAAAGTCCTAGATCTTAAATGACAGCAGCTTAGCCTGCTTTCAGTTTTAATACTTTAAATCTATACTGTGAAACTAAAATAAGAACTGTATATTTTATCAGTCTGCCAAGCATTTGTGGGGAATTTTATGCAAGGATGATGGTGAAGACAGTATTTCACTTTTCTATTGCACTGTTCATCAGGAGACCAATATTTTACATTCATTAAAAAATCCTTACAACATTCCTCCTCTGCGAGTACACAGCACACTGCTTCTGCTGTATTCCACAGGAGGTGTTGATTTTTCACTTTGAGAAGTTGAATGTTTAAAAATCCAGCATGTCTCATGAGGAGTGCGGTGCATGCTATTAAATGTCATTAAATGTCAGAGGAGGGAGAGAACAGAGTTCAGAGGAAGCAACTGCTTTCTATCTTCCAGGTGTAGGAAGTACTAGCGTGATATAAGAAGCACAGCGTAACCTCAGGGAAGTGGGCAGTGATACAGGACCTGGCTGTGACATTCAGGTTTTCATGGTTATATTCATCAGAGTGCAGAAAAGAGAGGGAGGGTGAGCTGCAAGAGGCTTAGCTGACAGAAGAGGAACAGAAAGGAAGAAATGGCATTGCAATCTCCTCACTTTACTGTTGTGTTAGAATAAACGAATGCATCACTGATGGATTTGGTTTAATCCTAGGGAGTAACACCAGGCAGTCATTAATAATGAGGAATAGCTAAAACATAGCTGCCTTTTCACCATTAAGTATATGGGTTTGGCCTCTGCTGAAAAATGGATGGATAGATGTAAGCATGGTGAAAAACCAGAAAAGAGGCCAAAGTTTCATCTCTGTCAGCAATTATTAGGGCTGGCAGCCCAGAAAATTGCATTAGAATTACTGATGTGTGACCCTTTTTTCCTCAGTGCTTGGCTATTTGTTAACTAGCTGGAATCTAAATCTGTGGACCAGCATCATTCGGATGTTTCAGAGCCAGAACTTACATAATCAGTTAGAGAAAAGGATGGGACATTGCCCTTCTGGAGTGATAGAAGAGAAATCATAGTGTGTTTTAGTGTGCTTGACTTCTGTAAGCTTAATCAAGACCAAAAAATATCACCTGTTTCCTGTAGATATTGAAGAACCTATCTTCTTTTTTCTCTTTCTATTTTTGCAAGATTCTGCATGGTGCTTATGTTCTTTCTTCTTATTCCCGGGAGCAGCTGTGATCCAGTTCTGTTCTCTGCAAAAAACCAAAACCTAATTAGACTGAAAAAAACCCCCACTTTAATAAAAGCATTATTATTTGGTAGCTCTTCTTGTGTTTTACTCCATGCCTTTTTCTGTGTAAGACCTTAAGTCAGACAAATCCAGAGCACATGTTTGGCTTGCACTATGACTTTCTTTGTTTAATTAGAAGGCTACCTGATAAAAAACTTACTTTCCTTCTTTATTTTGATGGTTCTGTTTTGGAAGGTCAGACTATAAATATTTGTGTAAGAACTGCAAGAAAATTACATGTGCAGGGAAGAAATATGAGGAAACAAGCTTGATGCCTATGACTTTGCATTGTAAAAATTGCCATTCTTTTTCCACATGATTATGAATTTATCTTGAGAGTGGCAGGGATTTCATACAAGCTTCCGATCATTTCTTTAATCCTAGAGTAATCCTTTTCACTGGTTAGTGGGCTTGTGTCTGATCTTTGCTGATAAGCAGCCTGAAACCCCTAGTGGGCTGAAATCTGGGATTCCAGGGTGCTCCTGGGGGAAGGTGGAGTTGTCCAGTGTCATTATTGCTCTTGAGTGAACTGTAGCCAAGACGTAAAGGCTGCTGACATGATATACAGCCTATGCCTCCTGTGTGTAGGCTTGAAAGGTCCATTCACAGCTTGCCGGAGACCAAGGTAACCTTGGTGACGCCTGGTCTAAACCTTCTGTGTGTTAACTCCACAGTGGGGACCTGCAGGTGACGGGAAGTGGACATTGCCCATACAGCACTGCCCAGAAAGCCATTGGAAAGGACAACTTCACTATGATTCCTGAAGGGGTCAATGGAATTGAGGAAAGAATGACTGTTGTCTGGGACAAGGCTGTAGTAAGTAATTGCTTACTTTTATGGACTAAAAAGAAATTGAGTGTTGGCTGAATAATGAAAGCCAGGAGACTCTTGGCTAGTACATAAGTGACTTTCTAATATATTTCTGACAAATCCCTGAGAGAGAGCTACTGTGAGGTGAATTGTGTCTTTCAAAAACCTTCTCCAGTTTTTAAACTCAAGGCTGTGTTTCACTTCTGACAGTGCAACACCTTTATGTTTTATTAGACCTGAGGCTTCACAGGCTACACCGCTCCATTTTCTGGTTGTGTCAGAGTGGATGCTTCTCAGAGACGTACTATCTGGAGCAGTTTAATGATTTTGAAGTGGACCTCATATAACCAGGATGAACGGATTGTTTGAATTTAAGAAGTGTCTCATCGTTTTTGAGAAATTTCAAATGGATGGCAGCTGAGCCCGAGGCTAGACTGTAAAATGCTTTGAAGGAGAACATTGCATGTAATTCATACTGGCATATTTTGCTGTGGTGTGCCGGTATAAGTTAGCAATTTTTTGATGATTCCATAGATCCTAATATACAATGATATTCTCCCTCCATTGTCCATCTTCACATACACACCCATATGTGCGTACACACACACACACACACACACACACTCATTACGTTACACTGCATTGCACTCAAATGGATATTGCAGACTGGAGAGTGGTAGTATTTACAACGCTCTCGGGAGCACTTCTCCCAGACTGTGTTTAATAACCACTTTCTTTAGGGACCGCTATTGAGATTGCAAGCACAGGAGCAGCTTCAGATACCTGCCCTGTAGGAGCAAAGCAGGGAAGCAAGCAAAGGGCAGCCAGCCAGTGCTATTTCCCTTTTGGTAGTCCCGAAAAGGGATGGAGCTGTGACAAAGGCTGCAACATGGGATTTATGGGTGGTAACATTCAGTCCTGGACCACTGCAAATCTCATGTTATACCAGGCAGGAGATAAACATTTACTTAATATTAAGAAGTTTGGCACTCTTCTTCCTCGGAATGCTGCTCTTGCTTCTTGTCAGGGAAGACCCCAAAATATTCTATTGAGAAATCAAAATGTTGCCGTGTACAGCTCCTATTAAGCCATCACTGACTGTATAAAACGTTTAATTAGTGGTGACATTTCTTGATGCAAGGGCTTTATAATTGGGATTGTATTACTTAGTTGTATAGGTTTGGTAATACAAATGGTGGAATGGACTTAATTTGCAAGAAATCTTTCTAAAAGAGTCTGAATCTTGATCTTTTTTTAATCTCAGAATACTCATATCGGTTTCTTGGTTTTAAAATCTTTAAAACATTTAGATGGATAGGCATCAGTGTGTAGAGAAAGGGACCTTAAATAACTAAGTAACCTGATGGTATCATCTGCATTAAGGTTTTATTGGCTGTTTGTTGGGGTGCCAGAAGTAACACATTCACTTATTTGAAACCCTCAAATGCTGTGCCTTGTATAAAATTCTGCTTGATAAAACCTCTGTTTAATGCACCATCATCATATATAGTAAATCCTCATTTTTTAAGTATGTTTTACTCAAGTCTCATTGTTTTTAGGCCACGGGCAAGATGGATGAGAGCCAATTTGTAGCTGTCACCAGCACCAATGCTGCCAAAATCTTTAATCTGTATCCAAGGAAAGGCCGGATTGCTGTAGGATCGGATGCTGATGTGGTTATTTGGGATCCTGATAAGGTGAAGACTATAACAGCTAAAAGCCATAAATCGGTAAGGAGAAAAGGAAAACCAGCAAAGAAGAAATGTCACTGTTCCTTTTCAAATGTTGATCTAATTCATGTGAACACCAAATATATGGGATATAGAGGAGTGGTGTAACTGCCTACTCCTATTCTGAAATGAGTGAACATTTCAGAAGATGAAAGTATTGAAATCTTGCATTGAAAGCACTGGGATCAGGAAGGATCTCTCTTTTCTCTGCATATTAACACTGCACTATTTTTGGATGCTTGCGGCAGATCTGTAAATAGGTGTGAATCAGCAGGTCTGCAGCTGAGGTTCTTAAAACTGTGATGATAAATGCAAAAGCAGCTCACTTTTTTTGCTTACCTGGAATGCACCCAGTATTATAAATCATATTATTAAATCAACAGTATTCTAAATAATGACAGATGGTTAAATATTTTTATAATGCAGTTTGGAGCAGCTTCACAGCTGGGATTTTCTATTTAATTCCAAAGCTTTGCTGCATACTTCTTTACCCTCAGTGCAGAGTACCAGTGACTCACAGTTGCTTCAATTTTTGACTGTGACAGGTTTTATTTTGTGTGTTGTGTATCTCAAACTTGTTATCTTATTGTTCAGTGCTTTGGTCTTTTATATTGGGGAATTATTCCAAATGTTTTACTGGAAATCCAGTAATATGGCTTATATTAAAAAGGCACAAACCTTAGAAACCTTTAAAAAAGAAGTTTAGGTGATTTAGTTTCTGTTCCTCTGTCTTGGAATCTCTCTGTATTTTCAATAATCACCTGCTTTTTAACAGTCATTCCCATTTAGATTCAGGCTTTCCTGGTCCTTTCTGGACTTTTTCAGACAGAAATATGTGTGCTGGCCCCTTTGAAATTCGCTTACGTGGTCACAGCACGTGCATGGTGACACCCTGTCCTGTGGGTATCTGTCAGCTGAGTCACAATTTTCCTTCTTATTAAGGTGATTGCACTTCTGGAAGCTCTGGATAAATACAGAAAATCCTCAAAAACAAATGAGATAGAGTGCTGATGCAAAGTGAGCAATGGAAAGGAAAAGTCTGATCCAGAAAAGGTCTGATTGGAGAGATGCTTTTAAATCACCTCATATTGTAATGCATTGGTTTTCCTTCAGACAAAACAATTTTATACATCTCTAGTCTAAAAAACTGTGACTACAAATATAGACTGTAAGTTACTAACCAAAAGAGATCTTGTACCGAACTTGCAGTGAATGTGTTGGTTGATCCTCAGGCTGTTGAGTACAACATCTTTGAAGGAATGGAGTGCCATGGAGCCCCACTTGTGGTCATAAGCCAAGGGAAGATTGTGTTTGAAGATGGAAATCTGCACGTAAATAAGGGAATGGGTCGCTTCATCCCTCGCAAACCTTTCCCTGAATATCTTTACCAGCGGATCAAAATCAGGAATAAGGTAATCTCAGATATTATTTAATCTTCTTTATAGTTGCACACTCTTGGAACCACAGTTGCATGTTACTTTATTATTATTGTGCTAATATGAGTCCGTATCAGATAGAATATATGTAACTTGTTGAAAATGTGACTAAAACTTTGGCTCCTCTACAAGTGTGAACTGATGTAACTTAATTAATACCATGAGCTTCAGTGAGTAGAGCATATAATTGCTAGTTGGGCATAATTGTCCAGCTGTGCAGGCTTTTAAAGGGAGCTGGAATAGTGCTAGAGTTTACTTTTAGTTAAAATTCAGGAAAAAGATAAAACTTCATTGGGAGGAGGGTTAGCCAGAAGAAAAACAGGATTTTAAATTGTTACTGAGCTTTGCATACTGAACAGCCACACTGCAGAGAACAAAAGCATGTGAGCCAGAGATACTCATTGTATTTGCCATCTCTGAACTCTTGTTGGTGCATTTGCTAAACTGAGTATTAGCAGCATTCACAGTTCAGAAAACTTTTATCTTGTGTTTAATAAAATGCTTGGGAAATGACCAAGATGAGCCACTTCTGGTTTTGAATTATATCAGTGCTCCTCTGTTGAAAACCAGTTGGCTTGGCACTAGGTTGGGGTTATTTGAAATTACTTCTTGCCACTGTGCAGAAAAGTCACTGTGTGAGGACGCATAACAAGAAAAATTGACTAGAACTCCTATTTTCTTCATAGCCTCTGAGGATGGCAGCTGAAATTAAATCTACAGCAGGTTGTTGATAGTTTTTATCTTTCATCATTTGTTGTACAAATTCTATCCAAGCTGGGGGATACAAAAGGTCTGCATGTCTAACAAGAAGAGGCACTGTAAAAATCAAATGTACCTGCAAATGTTTTGCAAAATACCAATCAGTATTGCACTTCTTTGCTTTAGATGACATGGGCCTTCTCTGCACACTCGCCTCTCAAGGGGTTAGTGCATGGGAGTGCTATGTAATTTAGATTATTATTATCTGATAATTATATATAATATGTTAATATAATAGACCAGAAAATTCAACAAATTGTGTATTAATTATATAAATATCATTTCAGCAGTGAAAGCAACACTTTAAAAGCAAATATCAGAAAGCGGTGTCTTATACCAGCAGTTTGCACAAAGTAACCTGCATCTTGCAAATGGGCTTGGATTTTGAGAAAGACCTTTGATTTTAGGTACTTGGGGAAAGGTCTGTGAAAGGACGAAGAAAAGGACTGATATTTTTGCTCTTGCAGCTCCCTCTGCTGCCTGCTGAGAGGAAGGGAGGGCAGATTCATGTCCCACTATCAAATCGTATTGTTTGGAAATACTCAGAAAAACTCAGTGATGGTCATATCAGCCACCATATGAATATGTCAGTGCACAACAAAGGAATATGCCAGTGTGAAACAAGGGGCAGCAGAGCAGCATACATTTATATAAATAGCAGTATAAATTCCTGTCTCTGTGGGTCCTTATGAGATGGATGCATTGCTGTGATTGGCAGCTGCTCCCTTCTGGGCAGTAGTTTTGGCTCAGCCTGTAAGATGCTGACTCTTCTGAGCCTGATGTCCCTGTCACTGAAAGCAAGGAAAATGCATTGATTTCTTTAAGAGCTGGATCAAACCCCTGTGAATAGTGTCTTTCCTATACGGTATTTTAATTTCATTGTTAACCTCTTGGGGAAATGGTTCCGAAACAATAATCATGTAAGCCAGAAATTCAAAAATTATCTTCTTGATGAACTTTGGATTCTGTGATGCAATGGCTTTTTAGGCTTTTCCTGAAAATTGGAACTGTTTTTGAAAAATATTGTTTCCTACATTTCAGTGGTTTTAAGGCCAATGAGGCTGTTACAGTTGTGTTTTCTCATATGCCTCATAGGAACTGTACAGGGATAAAATCTGGAGACCTCAATCTGCAGTCAGAGCTCAAATGATAGATACTCTATTGACAAATAATGAAAGATAGGCCCCATGCCACAGTCTAACGTATAACTGCTTTCCTAGTTCATTCTACGATAATAAGAAGTGGAAAATTTTGAAATTTTAATTAAAAATTTGCCACCACTTTTCAATGAGTTCTGATGAAGATAATGAGGTATTTGAAGGGGAGAGCAGAGAAAATACAGGTAGGAGTGAAATTGCTACAATCAGTACGGTGGGTAGCAGTCTTGCAGCAACCCAAGTGGGATTCAGCAGCTGAACCAGCCCTGCTGAAGAGCCTCTGGATGGAGAAAGAAGGGGTGCTGATGTCTGATATTACTTAAACATCTTAAGTCAGACCTGTTGCTGATTTCCTTTTCTCTTCAACTGTGAAGGAAACCTAACAAGGATCTCTCTGTCATTTTTATATATATATGAATGGAGGGAGGAGGCTTTATAATTTCCTACATATATAAAGCAGACTAATTTTTATGAGAATATAGATGTGTTTTTACTTCAGCTAATGCAGAATATAGGTCTGTGCTCAGCTGTCTCTGCATATAGGCAGGATTATGATTAGGGAGCAGTATCATGGCATTCATTGTCTGCATTTTTATTCTTCTCTTGACCTAGGTGGGAGGACTGCAAGGAGTCTCCAGAGGAATGTATGATGGGCCTGTGTACGAAATCCCAGCTACGCCAAAATATGCAACTCCTGCACCCTCAACTAAATCCTCCCCTGCCAAAAACCAGCCCCCACCAATCAGAAACCTCCATCAGTCCAATTTTAGTTTATCAGGTAAGTCAGCCTGACTGATCAGAAATGTTTAAAGTATTGAGTATGGATTATTGGTGATAAATTTCAATTATAATTACCTCTTTAATCAAATATGAAAGGATTATATATACTCACATATATGCAGATGCTTATATATGTGTGTGTATGTGCATATATATATTTA